ACAACCGCACGCAGAGCAACAGCCAGCAGCAGCAGCAGCAGCAGCAGCAGCAGCATCGAACCCTCACTAAGATCCGACCCGGAGTTCAGACGCGACGCGACGAGACGGGACTTTTCACCGAGATGCAGGGCCTGAGCTCCCGGGCGCATGCGTTCTCGGTGGAGGCGCTGGTCGGGAAACCGTGCAAAAGGATGAAAGTGTGTGAAGGACACGAGCCGAAGTCGGACACGGACCGCGGCTCGGACCCGAGCATCTTCACCGGTGAGATGGAGAAAAGAGAAACGAGCGGAATTTCCAGATCAGCCAACTTCGTAAAAAGTAAAAAAAAACAATATTTTTTACGCACAACAACAGACGTGGTTTTTACTTTTAGCTAAAATTAGAACTTTTTTTTCTCTTACTTCGTTCGGATGTTTAGTTTCTGTCTTTAATTTAAAGTTAACTTTGATGACAACAAACACCGACCCTGCTCCAAACTTCAGGCCATGTTACATTCAAAACTGTAATTGTTCCGTTATTTTGGACTTTCAGGCCAAAGGAAGAAAGCAGGTTCCGCACCGAGCCGGCGGTCGGAGCCGGAGCTCGAGAGCGAGGAGGAGGAGGAGGAGGAGGAGACCGAGGCTGCAGCCGGAGGAGAGGAGGACAAGCCCAGGGAGAGCAACTGCCGCCCGGACAGAGAGATCCGAGTGGAGCTGCAGGGCTCCGAGCTGTGGAAGAGGTTCTATGAGATCGGAACCGAAATGATCATCACCAAGGCTGGAAGGTTCGGTTCGAAGAAACAGTTCTGACCCAGATGAACTCCAGACTTGGAGACTGTGGATCTGTGGATTTTTAATAAGAAGTTCATGCGATAATTTTTTGTCTTCAGTTCAGAATTAACTGAACTAATGAGTAATTTATTCAGCTGCATTTAATAATAATAATATTAATATTAATAATGACAATAATAATAACACGAATATTAATAATAATATCACTAATAATAATAATCTGTGATTGAGGAGTGTGTATTTTCATAATTAAATTTTGTCCTTTTTATATTTAATTTCTTAACTTCAAAATAACAGATTTTGTTTTTATATTACAGTATAATCAACATTTTATCTTTTGTGTCATTCCGTTGTCACTGTGACGTCAGCAGAATGGTTTAAAAATGTCATATTCACACGTTAGAACAGGTGGACGTTTATAAAGGGAGAAAATATTTTTTTT